GAAACTCAAGAGGGCGGTCAATTATAAATTGTGTCGATTTCCTCAATGTCACCTTTTCAGACTTGCATTGGTGTAGTCATAATCCCGTGGATTAAGCAGGTGAGGAAAGAACACAGATATATGAAAAAACAACATAGAATAGAGATGCAGAGCTCAATCACTAATGAAATTTACTGAGACAAGAAACCTTTTAAATTGCGAGGCACCGAAGGATCTGATCTAGATTTCCGGATGAATTTTCGTTGAGCTTTGCCTAGAAAGGGAACGAATTCACTGCGATGAAAATTCACCGCACTATCCGCGCTCACGGCTGGGGGAGTTTCAATAAACTCGACGACCATCACATCCACTATTAACAAATTGTAGCGCTCAAAATAAGAGTTCAAGTTATGTAGACACAATTCAGTACCTACATAGGTTGTCTGTGTCCGTGAAAATGCATTCACAGGTTTCAGATTCCACCCAACCTGTACCCAAACCCACAAGCCTGATTTAAGACTTCTGAAACTGCTCGGCTGATAGGCAAGCGATAAATTTCATAAAAACTTAAATTTATCAATTGATTTATGCAGTAGTAGTACCTGGACAACTGTATACCCAAACGCCAAGCACTCAACTCTTCCACATGGGTACGATGCAGTTATGGGGAATCCGAGGGCTGATGCCTCGCCTCAAGAGCAACTCAGCGACTAGTGCTAAAAGACGAGACGATCTACCGATCCACGAAAAAGTTTGCCTTAATATCCTTTCTACCGCAGACGGAGACGAAAGACAACGCATGAGCACCAGGAGACAGCTAATCGACACGACCGATGGATAGTAACTATTTTGGTTCATGCGTGCACAGGGTTCATTTCGTAGTAAATACATCAGCAGCGGTAGCAGTAGAACAGGCCCTCGTAGTCCAAGCAGCCTGACGGGGCGTCGAGACGAGCCCACACAGGGAGTAGAGAAACGGTGTGTGTGTGTATGTGACCAACATCCGATGGATTGATTGCACTTGGCCAGAGGAAGCAAAAAAGGAGGAAAGATTAACTTACGGCGCGCGACCAACTTGACACACCCGGGAGGCTGCCGCCTCTACTATCTACTTGCGGGCCATAATTGGGGCGCGCTAGCTACCGTGATAGTGCGACGAAAAATCATCCACATAAAAGGGGATGATAAAGAGTTGTAGATACTTCCCTTTTGAGAGCACAATAAATGTCGTCCGCAAAGTTGATACTTTACGCAAAGTGCCCTCAAAAAGTACGAACAATTCCATGACAGTAAATGTTACAGCCAACCCAGGAAAAGGTTGAACGTCGAGGGCCCGACAACTGGAAAATCAAATATGCGCTCCGATAAAAATGACCAAAAGTCCATATTCCGCACAGCTGAAGACCTAAAGCAACCAAGCAACGCGAGAACGATAACAATCACAAGAAGAAGTCGCAAAAGGGTCCGAAAACCATGCCTGACGTAAATGTAATCGCATGATGCAAGATGATACACAGCCGACACAACAACTTTCAAGCAGTACATCAAACTGTGAATCAAAAAGGATGAGAATCGCATTTGAATTTCCCAATCAAACATTGAAGTAACGGTGTGAGGTACACACCGACAACCGTGGCACCCAGTTAAACTCGAAAGTGCTGTGAATGTATACAAGTCTGGATTAAGCTGTATTATCGGCATTACAGAGAGCACAGCGTAGAACTCCATGCGCGGGAGACTAGAAAGATCAAGAATGAGCTTAAAGCAAACATGTTTTTGTTACATAGCATGAAAATTCTCAAAAGATGCAATGTGATCTTTGAAGCAGAGCTAGGAGACCGGAAAAAATGTATTTTAACAAACACAAAGCCCCATTTACCATTAACACATGTATTTATAGTAAAAGACTGTTAAATTTAAACGGAGCACTGAAGTTTCCACCCATTCGGCGCTAAGTGCCTCTAAGGTGGCCAGTGATTTAGTAAATCTCCGCCCGCTAGAATTAACCACCAGCCCATTAAAAGACGTATGGAATGTTTATCACTTAATCAACATTAAAAAATACTTGGCCAGCAACGGTTTCATGAAAAGATTTGCTTAAACTTGTACAACAATCAAGCTCTTTCTCATAGAATAGAATACCAATAAGAGGAAGGAGATATGAATTTACGTAGGACATCTGGGTGGCAAAATAGTGGAAATACGGTGGGAAAGCGCCCAAATCCGACACCAATACTAAAGGTATTGTTGTTCCCACAAGCTTGAGCCCATGGGATGGGAATGAAATGGGAACAAAGAGGGAGGACCCTATAACTGAACAGCGACAATTGTAACAAAGACGAGCAACACTGGAACCAGACCACAGAGAAATCAGGTGTAATAAACTAGAGAACTGCCGCGGTTGTTAGATGAGAAGCGTGGAAGAAAGAAACCGGGAAATATCTGTGAGCAAAAAAAGGCAGGATGAAGACATACTGAAGGTACCATGCCTCAAACAGCGACTCACTTGGTTGTTCTCATCCGTGGAGATACGGTAGTGGAAGATGCGTCCGTCGGAGCGGAGACTGAGAGTGAGTTTGCCGAAACTGCTCTCGGATTCGCGCACAAGGAAACTGCCAGTTATGCCGCTATTGAGAAGATATTCCGCATAGCTCCGGTGAATAGCGCCGTGGTACCATCGCTCGCCGATCAGACTGGGACAGGAGACGTGAGCACTGGGGGCGGAGGAGGCAGTAGCAGCGCCAGAGGCGATGAGAGGTTTTGACGAAGTCGGATCGAAGAGACATGATACTGGTACCCAGCCCCGTTCGCCTGTGCGTCGACAAAGCACATCCAACCAATCGCCCGTGGAGCTCCGACCGTACAACCACAGTGAGTCACCTACCAAAAATCGGAAAAGTTTAATCCTTTAAAGTTAAAAATAAAATTCTAAGATCTTTAAAATGAGACGAGTTCCCAAAACCTGAGAATAGAGAATTGATCGCAGTTGACACTAAACGTACTAATTCCAAACGAAACAATGGGAAAATCTGGTAAATTGATCGAAAATGAATGTGCCATACCTTCAGAGATTGATAAAAGAATACAGCATTTCTTGAAGAGACTATCAATTGTACGGCAGAACGTCTTATCAGACTGGAAGTGTGGATGCCCCAGTCCCACAGTTTCAGGAAGCCATCCGACTAATTAACGTAATATTCGGGAAAACCAAGTAAACCTATTTAAAACGGTTAGAAGTGACAAGCCAATGCAGTAAAGTTATGCAACACTACCATTCGCGCATCTACAACCAGGAATAGAGCCGCCGCTTATCAAATGACATGGGCCAGGAAAAATACTTCGAAATTGCCAGCAACAAAATTAAACCAAACTTACCCTTTCTTACGACGATAGCAGACCAATGTACATTTACAGGAGGGTCATAATCATACAGAGCTGTTAAATCACCGTCAGGGACCGACATCACGTCCAGGGAAGAAACAGATGTCCCATCATCACCACACTTCGACTTTTTGCCTACAAACGCAATGCGACTTTGAATTACCACAAGCCACGTGACAAGACGCAAATAAGCGAGTGCCCCCTAGATTGGGTATGATTTCCCCAGTTTTTAATCCTAGCTAGGCGAAATTAGGCAATAAGCGAGTGCCCCCTAGATTGGGTATGATTTCCCCAGTTTTTAATCCTAGCTAGGCGAAATTAGGCAATAAATAAACCAATTATCTGTGCAGACTAAATACATAGCTTTTCCGACCCACCCTTATTAAGTCGAAAGGTGAAATTTCGGTCGACACTTTCTGAGGCAGCCTTTTTGGGTTTAGCATGTTGACTACCCATTTACATCAGTCAACACTCAGAACGAAGAAGACCTAATAGCACTCAAGTAAGCCTCCAAACTACTAGGTTAATAAAACACCATCACACGAGTCGAAATATTTACAAAAACACCTCAAAATTAAACCAGTCAAATGTTAATATTTGTACTTTTGTCTTTTTGTCTAGACATGCGAAATAACGGTTTCATATTTTGTACGTTTTTAATACTACGCTTTACTCATTTTTCTGTTTCAACGACAACATAAGGACATCTCTTAACATAAAACCACTTACGATAAATAATTTTTTTGCTTACTTTTATTGGTAATAGTCCACGGTCGTGAGTCACCGCCCTCGATGCATCTCCGAGTTGTCCCTAGAGCCTTCACAGGCTGCATCAGTGCAGTAGAGAATCCATTACTAACAAGACTAAAGCACCTTTTTTCACCATAAGTTTAATTTAAAGTGAGTGAGGAATTTGCAAAGTTAGTCAAAACATCAATCACCGTGTAGCTCCTTGCTTCAGGCTGTCGTCCAGATTCGGCCATCACACCGTAGTTGGTGCCTCAAAAATCACTCACAAGCCCAAAGTGGCAGTTACTAAATGCTTGTACGCCTATAAAGACACTTGGACTTATTAGTAATGATGCGTAGCTGTTAAGGTTTTGATCTCATCTGGCGAACGCTGTTGGGGGAGGGAGGCTCCACCAGCTGTGTACTGCTCAGGACCAAAAGTCGGTCAGTAATCAGTGTATTTTATTAACAACGCTTGTATGGCTACCAATTGTCCAAAAAATTTGCACATTTGTATTAAAACCGCAAAGTGAAACCACTATGGTTTACTAACGGAAGACGCTGGCAACGCATACACGCAGTAAATTATTCTTTGGGTTACTGAACGTTTACGGTAACACAGTAGTACCCAACAGCTATAATTGTACCACCCAGACTGTTTAGGTCTGCAGTGTAATCCAACCGTAGTGGCGGTAAGGGTTTCCGCAGTGGAAAATCCGACCTGTTGATAAATTCAAAAAGGACAACTCGCCACATCTGTTTCCGAAGTCGGATTGGTTTGGAATACTGCTTCAGCCCATGCCACAGATCTAAAATTAATAAAACTGCAACTTGCAGGTCAGAAACATTTAGCACATAAGCACCACGAGTTTAAAATTGTAATTTTACTTCTTAATTTTCGCTACCCACCTATGACGTCGTGATGGCCGTGTAATTTCCAGTCAAATGCCAGTGGTTTTACCTAAAACTCAAAAAGAATGTTTTGAATTCGAAACTGCACCACAGTGTACAGTTGCTAATTTCAGTTCATATTTTTGGGCCATTGGCTGTGAACAGTCGGTCTGTTTAGGTCACGCTCGTTGTTTTAGCATTGCTCTAATTGACCTTTACCATCGTTTGCGATCACAAGGAGTCAAATTTTTTAAAACAGTTTGCCGACAAGCGTTTAAAACTATTGTCTAGCAGTTAGGAAATCTTATTCCCCCTAGGCGATTTTTAAAACGTTTAAAGTGAGGGCAAAATGGGCCATTTCGAGACAACAGTTATAGCAAAGTGGGATGGGTCCAATCAACGTTTCTATTCCAACAGCAATACGCATTTTAAGTAAGAGGCTTATTCTCTTTTAAAGATTTTCCAGTCCCGTATTCAATCATTTACTGAACTACCCATTATTGCCTATTTGGTGATTCGACATTTAACGAGACTGAAGTCACAAGTCATTATCAACAATCTCCTTATGATTAAGAAAGTGTAAAATATTTGGCTGAACTATTAGAATTATTGAAAGAACATCTTTACAAAGCGAACCAACGTCAATCGGTGCCTTTGTGGGCACGCGTTCTACTTACCCAGTGTAGGTAGTAAAAGTTGCAGAAATATTATTAATAGCAACGGTCAGTAAGACAACCTACTTCTGAGGCTTAAGAAACCACTTCAACTTACGTCATTGAAGAAGACGAGGTACTGGATTGTGTAGTCCTCGTCAATAATTGCCAGGGTGTAGTTTATCTTAACGTCACTCCTCCTTTTGAAATCCTACAATGCGTCGGTTTTTAATGTACGCGTAAAACAACGGTAAGTAAAAATGTAAACGCGGGAAATGACTTAGCAGTAGTAGACAAGAATATCCTGATTCAAAGGAATCACAAATCATGCGCTTGGCCCTTTCTAATCATAAAAGACTCACGAATAGGATTTTATGGGAGAATATTTCCCGCGAATTATGCGCATGTACTCTGGGGTTTGGGGAATTTAATTCTCACGAGTAAAACATCACAAGATATCCCACCACTAAAACAAGGCATGGAACGATCAACTTTCACAATTAGACAAGAAACGATTTCGGGTTATGCATCGATAGCAATGACAACCTTGGAACTTGAACGCCATGGTTGACATAACGAAAGAAACATAGTGGAGGGAGAATGAAAAAGAGCTTTCATTTGTTTCCTTGCTTTGGTTAATGTTCGGTCTACATATTCTGACAATAAGTACAACAGCCAAGCAGTAATATTATGCTTCAGACAATACTTGCTCCCAACTTACCGATCTACGCTCACGCCAATGCCTTTCTTCTTCCCTGGCATTGTGCTGCGGTTGAGAGAAATAGGGGACTTTCAAAAAGGCTGAGGGTGTAAGACCGACTGTCAAATTGTCGTGAGTGATATTTCAACATAGAAGTACATCGTTTACCATGCCTTAGCCAAAAATGTGTAAAGGTATTAAGTGGATTGCGCTAGTCGTATTGTACTAACCGTTGAGGAAATTCGTCCACAATGAAGGAGTCTTTTGGGTAAGTGTGCAAGCAAACAAAAGACCTGCAACGTAGTGTCAGTCCAAAAATTAAAGTAAAAGGTGCTTTGCATAAGAGATGCCGTATTAGGAACATAATTATGCGATTCCGTCATTAATGAATGGATCAACCACCTTGAACAATGTATATGGAAGAAGTAAATACAATTCAGGGCTGAATTAAGGCATACATCTGTTTCTCAAATTGCAAAAGACAATGTCGGAGAAGATAAATATGATATGTTCGTTGTTTTAACTAACTGGTAACCTACTTCACAAAGTAGAGCGCATAAATTTTAAATGTGGATTTTTTGAATTAGTGGAGTGGTTTCTTAGTATATGAAAAATCAGGCAAAAAAACCTGAAAATTCAATTACCAATAAAACCTAGACAGCTCCAAAATTTGGTATTTCAAATAGCAGTATCAAAAGAAGGACTAAGAATGTTAATGCATACGGAATCTGACAAGTTGAGGGGGTCTGTTTTATAAAGTGGAAAATTTGATTATTTGGCAGCTATAATGAACCCTTATTACTTTTAAAAAGACCTACATTAAATATACTACCGAGAGAAATTGTCAGTTCCTTCAGATTGTAATGGCGCGCAGTGAACTGAATCGATTCACCACAAAAACCAAACTCCGAGACGAGAATATCATGGCAGGCTGACTGGCAGAGCGCATTAAAATCGGTACGTTTATTACACTTCATCGGTCTGAGCTGAAGGGGAATTTGCCCAGTAACGAAGACCCCCAGCAGCGGAAGTAAGCAAGAGAAGAAGGTGCCCACAGCCTCCACACACCTCGACTGCATTTCAAGCGCCCAGTCTGGTTAGTGGTTACTCGACCTCCAAGTCCTAGTATTGATCAATTCAAGATTGAATGACAACGTGGATGTTTGGATTTGATGCGACATTAATTCAAATCGCAGAATAATCATAGCGTTAAAAGTAAGAGAAACCAAATAAGGCGAATCTGAGTACTTAAACAGCACAAATTGGAAGGAAAAGTTTCGGAAAGAGGTCTATTTATGTATGGGAACTCGAAGTGCACGCTCTTTAAAAGGTACTGTGCAACAGTCAGGTCGTAGGCAGGACTCTAAAGTCTAGATAAATTTCAAATAGTTATAACCCTCTTGGAAATTGAAGACCCAAAAATGAGATTATTTTACTTAAAATGTGAAATTAAATACTCCCTCTCCCATGTCACATGGCAGTTTCTTCATTTCCACTTCCATTAGAAAGTACTCAATACACGAGCTGTGTGTCACATTCTGGCACGAATTTGTGGTTTGCTTGTCAAATACCTCTTTGTATTCAGTGCTTTGATACGCATTTTACAACTCGGCTTTCAGTGTGCCAGTTGAAATTCTTGAAGTGATGTAATAATAAATGTATATGATTAAAAGGCGCATTTTACCATCAGGTCAAATTGGCTCCGGACAAGAATTCTCTCTATTGAATGAAATAAATACAGTGCTTGTATTTTAACCTGTGATACCTTAGCTGTTTATTTAACCCTCGGTTTTGGTGGTGAGCCAGTGGGAGGCCCCGCCACTGTGCCCTTACCGGGCGGTATGACCTATTGACTATGCCAGTAGCCCTCTACGCCCTTCTGTGCGTTGGGAATACACATTCTATCAAGTATTATATCTTCTTTCATCTTCAGAGAAGTCTCGAGGCGCCGCAAACCCTCCAGCAGACCTGGTTCATCGAAGTTCCGCTGAGCTATGATTGGCAGTTCCTTTTCCCAAGGGCGTGGTCTCGTAGACTTAATTAGCATAGGTTTCGGAGTCCCTTTTTACTAAGACTTAAAAAAGATTACTGTATTTAAAGGAAATTCACCAATTAAATGGCCAATCTTACCGCGTTGGTTTTCTTCACGAACAATTTCGCACGACATTCTTGATAATAAACTAAAAGGTAATCCGGTTGCACCCTAAAATCAGTTTTTAAATGGCAGTCGTGTAAATGGGATGCATTAACTACAGTAAGTAGATTTTAGAATACCACTTTCATCCTCCTAGAGTGGAATATCATACACCTCACTTTCACCTTAAGTGAAGCCTATACATCGCAAACAGACCATTTACATTTTCATGTGCAAATTATTTGGGTAAATATACAACGAAAATGTAAACACTGGAACCCAGTAGGACCGTCTATGCTTCGCCATGCACTGCTAGGGCTACACACCATCAACACTCCATCGTGGTGATAGCAAAAAGGCACTGTCAAACCAGTGTAAAAGTATTCTACAAAAACGGAACGATTTCATAGCCGTTGCTACCATTTACCAGGAGGCTGTGAGGTGGAGCCAGAGACGCTTAGCTTTGTGACGTCGGCAGGCTGGCGCCAAACACCCTCGTACAACTCAAGCGACGATGGTATGCCTAAGGCGGTTGTGCGCGTGGAGGTCACCAGAAAGCGGATTTTTGCAGTCATGCAAGCAGAGAGTTACGTGTAATAAATCTATGACTAGGTTTTGTTCAAGTTGCATCGGTACTATGGGATTTTCTACAAAACAAATTTGATATTAGAAAATAAATACAAATTAGGGAATGTAAAATAGGGCGCCTCATTTCTGTGTCTTTTCGGTTTGAAAATAAGTGAGGAAAGGACTCTCATGATCCCTAAGTATACTTTTCAAGTCCAAAATGGTACCTAGTAAGTAGAAAAGGAATAACTCTTCCTAAGGGCATCCGATTATTAGAAAGAGATGAATTACTCTTGCAAACTTTGCGATTCTTTGACGGATGAATTAGGGTTCGCTTCTTTTTTTCAATCCAGTCTACGTCTACTTCTACTCTGATATTTCGCCTGAAACACACGCTCGTATCACCGGCGAAGTTCGTGTGTGTGTACGTGTCTGCAATGTGAGAGGCCACAACCTATTTACAGCCGACAGGTACAAAGATGTGTTCACACCCTACCGTGATGTCAAAATATGATTCTGATCCTGAATGGCTAAGGTTTCTTCCCCTTTTACAGATGATATAGAGAAAAATTTGAGTGCACGTACTAATTCTAGGGTGAGAAACCTAAGAAATCGAAATTTAACTAGGAAGTCTATTGAAAAAGGATCACAATGTACTATGGCGTCTGGAAAAAACGTTGTTTAAGTCACCTTCTAGAATGGAAGCATCCCACCACCTGAGTTCATTGAGTGAAATAGGTAGGAACCATCCATGTACATCAAAAGTTGGTCTTGTATGCTAAATATCCGAAGTTACCGATGTGCAACACATTTGGCTATGCTTCTGATAGACAGAGTTACTGATTCCGACACAATGATTGCCAGGAAATTCCGCATCATTGAGTTGGTAAATGACACGGATTTTTGGTAGTACTTGTAGTACTAAAATTGATTGTTTAGCTTTCAGTTTCAGTAGCAGGCCATTAGGGACTCCACCACCGTACCTCCGCAGGGCGGCCTGGCCTCCTGGCCATGCCATCGCTACAGTGCTAACCTTAAAATGAATGTTTATCGCTATTTTTCAAGTCCTGACAAGAGTTTTTTTTCAGTGTTTTATTAGGAGAACATAAGGAATTCGATTTGACGAGTTTAATTACCAAAAGCACGTAAATAAAGCAACCTCGTAGCCGTTTATCTACAAGTATTTTACCAGGGGTTACTTCCCCCGCTTATGGAGACGTTAGGGGTAACACCTGAAATACAATAGCCAAAAAAATTATTCACCATTATATTTGATGGGACCAAATAGCTATCGAAGCAACTTTTAAACCAGCGCCTTGTAAAGAACTTTACTCCAAAGGAGACATTCACCTTGAGACTAATTTGTAGAGCACACAAGGAATCCTACACATAATCGAAGCATCAAGTTCATTTTAAGGTTAGCATCAAATTTATTCTTAGGTTCGCTGTCCAAGGATCAGTAGCCATTGGTTAAATATCAAGTCGGATAGTTTGCCCTCGACATCTCTGGTAAATTCATTTAGCATCAACTAAACACCCAGCCAAACTCCCAAAACATCTATTTCCCACAAAGCACAAACCCACGCCTTCCCCTAACTGATGCGTGCAAATCAACTGTTGCATTCCTCGTACGGCCTCTCCCAAGGAG